AAATATCGCGCGGTGCAATCAACACGACTGAAATGCAAAGCATGGCATACCATGAAATAGATGCTGATCTTTTAAAACTAGATGATGCTGGCCATGTTGCATTCAAAACACGTTTGACTATTGCATAATTTTCATAAAATGGTTTTTTGACCAAATTTTCACTTTGATTATGTATCGAAATTTCAAATCGCAGGTTTTGCCTTTCGTGATCTTCTGACAGGTTTCAGAGTCATTGACAATTTTAGACCGTTGATGAAAAACAGCGGTTCTGTGATCCGGTTGGTATGGTATGATAACGCTTTGGCCACTTTCCAGAGGCACTGTGATTGAAAGGAGTTTAAACAGACCTTCAATTATCTGAAGGGATTTTTTAGTGCATAGACTCACGAGAGAGAATGCAGCTGCTTTCACGGCAATGATATTCGTATATACACTGCAGTTTTAGCATTCAGATGTTAATTTCCACCACATGTCGATGAAGAGTGTTTCTGGGGCTGGGGCACAGGAAATCTATTTCGAAATCTACAGTTGTTACTCATAGGCATTTGAGAGCTTATTTTTGCAACAGTTTACTCCGCTGTATATGCAAAAGTTAGTAAAAGTGAACTCAAATAGAAATGTCAATAGCACCGACCAACAAAGACAGAGCAAATCTTTATAAAGCGCCAGAGTTGTTTAAGAGCCTACCAACCGCGCATCGTTTCATGTCTTCGCGAAATGAAAATCATAATACCTGGAAACAACTTCTGCCCACAGTCATCAAATTAAAGAACATTACTGATCTAACGCCATCAGTTTCTTCTCGATACTGCGAAATAAAATTTGATTAAATAGAGGTAAAATATGCAGAAAGTGACCTGGGCATTTAAAATCCAAATTTTAAATTTTCAGTTTTACTTTAGTAGTTAAGTATCACCATATGTACAAAATCTTTCGTTTTGTTCGATCAAATTCTTAATTTCTTTTTTTCTTTTGATTTAACCAATGTTCATCAAATGTTCCTAAACTTTATCATACGGGAAGGCTTATTTGTGCCCTGATCATGACAACTGTCACAGTGCTTGGTTCCTTGAAGCGCTGACAAATTCTTATCGCCCTAAATAGGATCTATCTTGCACCGTAGCCAGGATGCGTAAATCGCTTGTTGGTCCCATGATTGGGGATATTTATTTTAGACCTATCAACCCTAGTTTCACGCTCTCGCAAATTTCTGATATGAGCGACCTCTGTCGCGTTGTTTTATCTATGCACTTCGTTTGTTAGTATGACCATCAGGGCCGGCTGAAAATCAGTTTCCGTGTCATATTATTTCAGTTAATACCTTGTATCTATAAGTATCTTTGTAATTTATCCTGATTAATCCTGCATTTATTGCGATTGCAAAAGTACTCAGGCTCGTTTAAAAATCTTTTGTGCCTGGCTGTTTCACGCTTTCTGTGATTGACTGCAGCTCTCAAACAACATGAATTCGGGTTTCCTTGCGTAAGGCAAATTTCCAGCTCCTAAAACTTACCATTTGTAGAATTTCAGTCTAATCTTATTTGCAACTACGAAAATGCACTAAGAACAAAAATAAAGACAAATTACACAGACCGCCGCCAAGTCGTTGTGGCGCTCAAACGGTAAAGCATATTTTCCATTGGTCCTAAGTATCATTAACATTTTAGTCTTTCCACTGTCAGAGGGCAAAGCCCGTTGCCACCGTTGTCGCTTAAAGCAGGGTAAATCTGAAAACAGTTGAAACATGTTAATGTTACCTCGTGTCATCATACCACTCCCGGAATATTTGCACTGGCATTCTCTTACCATCATAATATCGAAAAATGCCTTTGTAAATACTACATTGTTTGAGGTTGTGTTTGGTTATGCAAACCCGTCTCTAAAACGTGTTTTATGCACAGTTCATTAGGGAAAATTCATATTAATTAAAATTCTTTCATTAAAGCTCAGAATGTGTCACAACCGTTTATAAATCGATTTTTCGAGAGTTTACGAAACGGATACTTACAATCGTGCCCGGTACATTTTCATTTTTCAGCCAAACATGTCACAACGCTCGAAAGCCGCTTAACTGTCTTCATTTAATCTGTGCGTAGCATTTGCATATGCCTGATTTTGGTGTCCCTTCATCCAGATTTGTATGACAGTACCAATCACATGTCGGTTTTATCAAATTTCAATGATACGAGATTGGGAACGTCCTGTTTTACATAGCTTTGCCAATACATCTCATTTTACAGCCATCTAATTCATATTCAAAGTCATATGATGCAATCCCGTTGATTTCAAGAGTATATGATGGTTCTTGCCTTCGATGTTCATCGAACATAAGGGTTAAAGTGAAACACCAAACAACAATACGTTTTAGTACGAATGAAAAATTGTCTGCTGCAAGACTCTGCCTTGACGTTGTCCCGAAGCCCATAATTAAGATCACTTGATATGCGGACTCTATGCAATCCAGGCCTACTTAGTGTTATTGATTACTAATGTGGACTGGTTACCTCCCTGTGTTTATATTTACCGTTTGTACTGTTTAATTACTATTATTTGCTATTGAGATTTCATTGCGTTGTTTACATTACTCAGTTCGTTCGTCTACATCTTACGAAAGACAATAAACAATCGAAGGAAGTAGATGTTGCAAACTGCAAAGCAATAGCAGTAGTCAAGCCGGCCGAAGAAGGCATTCGTCGCGTGTGATCACCGCTGAGCAGAATTCGCCGTCAAGCGGACGACAGGTGTCGCCGTCAGTTGAACGATGAATCAGGCAAAAAAGTGTGTACAATTTGCGCTCATTACGGGTGCCAATTGCCGATGAATGATGTTGGAGAAACCGCGAATTCGCTGACGACAAAAAGGACATGTGATACTAAGCCCGGTTGTTCCCCAATCAGCGACAAACCAACAGACACGCGTGGCTTAAAGGTCATATTAGAAGCCGCTGGGAATTTCAGGGTCATTTGAGGCGTTATATTTGTCATGACCGGAAAGGTAGCGCGGGTGCCCGCGGGCAGCCGCTGCTCGGTTTTTGTCACGACTTGGCCAAGTGGCCGAAATTAAACCTAAAAACCAGAGCTTCGAAGTCAAAGCTGACGCGTGATTTGATTCTCAGGTTGGCACAGACAGTGCGCCAGTACGACAGACGAATGGAAAAAGTAAATTACACGCTTCTCTAGTGCCGATGTTTCCGCCTGGAGAAACTCCAACTAAGAAAATTGCCAGCTTCGTAATTGCATGACGTTGTATAATGTCGCAGTGTTCACTCATCAACCTAGTGGAATAGGCATATGCCTGAGAGTCACAGCGTCGGTCTCCTCCAAATATCACTAGGAAAGTGAGCGGCGCATGTTTCACTGTACAGCTATTAGGCGGCCATTATTTACATAGCGTTTTTATAACTGACGAACACAACACGTGTTCGAAGATGATACTTGAGCAGCTCCTTGACGTGCCAAATAAATTTATTGCCTAGATGCGCGCCATGAGTTCCATTCAGTTTCTTTCCAAACTCAACGGACCATTACAAGCTCCGCTGATCACTGCTCATAACCGTAGTAATTGTTTACGCTAAAGTGTTCATAATCGGTCAGGCCAGAACCGATGAATTGGCTCCCACAATCTGAAGAGCCACAATTGTTCACAAATAGGAGTCTCACTGCCATTTGTTCACCTGGTTTA